ACACACACAGGGAAATGCTTCATCTGATCACGAAATGGCGTTCGGATCAGGGGTTTACCAATCAGATCCAAACCTAATCGATGCAGAAACTCAAAAAACAAAGCTAGAAAAACTACCTTTTCGGAAGAAAGACGAAAACTAACAGAAGTAAAATGCAGGCAAAAAAACGCGATGTTCAGTTCAACAAAGTACGAACACGAGTGATAAAGGCGGGTACACCCGCCATTGACTGGGGACAGCGTACCTTTACGGAAAACAGAGGCTGAGCACAGAGACCGGGTGGCAATGGAGTCTAGAGCTCGAGGAGTCGAGGTGTAGAAGAGAAAGCGAAGGGCAAGACGCGAGTTTAGATAGACGAGCGAGTGAGCGTATTTATAGAAAGGAAAAGCAATGGTGTGTGGGTGAGAGTTGGTTGGCGTGGTAGATCTGGTAAATAGCCAAATGCGAAGCTCTCAGTGAAAATCTTGACGGTGAGCGTGAGTAGACGCTCTTTTTTATGAGCGTGTTGTCGACGCGATAGTTTGGTGGATTTACCAAACCCCTAGATATGTTAAAAGGTGACGAGTAAACTCAAGTTAAAAATGAAAAATTGAGTTAAATCGTACAATTTGGAGCAGTTCGGTTATTATTTTTGTAAGTTCAGTTCTTTTTTTGGTGTAGTATCGGTTTACACCAAACCACATAAATTTAAATATAAATGTATAGAAAAATTGAGGCAAACTAAAGAATCAAGTTGAACTGTGCATTTCGATTCGGTCCAGTTTGATTATTTTAACATAAAAAGAACTCGATTCAATTTGGTTCGATTCTTTTATAACTGTATAGCAAAATTGAGACAAAATAGAGAATCAAGTCTAACCATACGTTTAGAGTGGTTCAATTCGCTTCGATTATTTTAGTATAAAACGAACTCGATTCAATTTTGGTATGATTTTTTTTATATATTACGAAGTGATTCGATTATATTTTTTGATAGGTTCGATTTTTTAAATAGTTCGAAACGATTTTACACCGAACTACATTTAGTTACCCCCCATAATCTACCAAATAAATATTCAAAATGTGCAAATTCTAATTGAATTAACCCATATCAAATGAATTGTAATTTAATAAACTTATTATAAAATATAATAATATACTCTACTTGAAATTTAGTATCTCTTTGCTCTCACCCCGTCTTTTGGTCTTTAAAAATAATAACAGAATCGTGCTTTATTTTTCTTCTAGTATGCCTCGGCCTACTATTTTTGTCCTCTAGCATATGCTAGATCTAGAATCTCTTTGGTTGTCCGTTATCTCTTTGGTTTTCGGTTAAGGTTGAGAATCTATGCTGTTGGATCCCCCATTTTGCCAGTTTAGCTTGAAGTTTTCATGTATGAGAGACTTTGGTTGGCAAAATGTTTTCACGGTAGGGATGCGTTACCGTCTTGTTACATAGAATGTGCTTAGGCTTGTAAACGAGCCGAGCCGAGCCGAGCCGAGTTTGAGCTTAGGGTGCTCGAGCCCTAAACGAGCCGAGCCGAGCTCAGCTCGTTAAATAAACGAATCATAAATCGAGCTCGAGCCTTAACGAGTCGATCTCCAGCTTCAATGAGCCGAACTACAAAATTATATAAAAATTCTCCTTTCGAGCCTTATCGAGTTGAGACGAGCTCGGCTCATTAATCAAGCAAGCTTTAAATGATCTCAAGCTCAACTCATTAAGGCCTCGAGCTCGAGCTCGACTCGTTAAAGCCTTGAACACGAGCCGAACTTGAGCCTTAACAAGTCGAGCTCGTTTAATTTAACAACACTAAATGTGCTTGAAGTTTCAACGGAACATGCCCCCATTGTGGTGATTGTCAGCTATATAGAACTTGTCGCGGTGATTGTTGCGATAAGTATGTTTTTTATGAGGCGAATGTGTTACTCTATGTGAACTTTTTTTGTGCTATATTTTGTATTTATTGTTATCTTGTATGTTTGGTTTTAAGCTTCAATTTATGATTATCAATCTTGCTCTGGGAATTTGTAGTCTTATTTGCGGTGACTTGTAGTGCTTCTTTGGTTAGTTTTGTAGTTGTGTTTGGGTTGCTCTGTTTAAGCACCTTAGGGTGTGTTTGTATACAATTTTTCTCAATTCATATTCAATTCATACTCAAAATTTAACTTAGCTTTAACTCAGCTCTACTATCCCCAATATGTAATTGATAATATCATCAATCAATCATTCTTACACATCACATTAACTTTAATTCACTATTTGTAACACCCCGCCTAGACTTACTAAAATCAGAGTAAATTTTTCGCGCTATAAATGGAAAGCGCTTATTTATTTTTCGAAAACATTATTAATTTTCGAAAAGACTTTAACTTTAATACACGGGATGCTACTGCTGAAATCTATTCTCTTTAATTACTATGCACGCAACCAAGTAAAGTTTACTGGAATCATTCATGCATTCTGAAATTCTGAAATTATAGTTCTGAAATGCGGAAGCAAATATAGTTCGGAAAGCACACACCAACACATGAAAAACATGTAAAGACAAAAGACAGTTTAGACATGTTCAAATAACTATAAGACATGCCATATCAAAATATCCTGACTGACGACCACCACCACATACAGCTCACGCTCCACGCGAGACTCCGTCACCTGAAAAAGAAGGTAGTGGGGAGGCGTGAGCACAAAGAAATCAACGGTGCTCCGCCGGGACCGGTACTGAATACCCAACACCTTTAATAATCCATCATGAAATTAGCATATATATAAATAAACTGGAACTGACTATATGGGACTAACGGTAAACCGGTACTCATGTGCACACTCTGGGGGTCCCCTCCCTCAGAAATCCAGGAAGGCACTAATCGCCACATCTGGACGCTAGACTTAGGATGGGCCCTAATCACACGCATCCAAGTCATAACTGAAATACTAAAATATTGACCAAGACGAGATTACTCAACCGTCTCGGTCCTTCAATTTAATCACATATAGACCTCAGACATGGTAAACTATTAAAATCAATGAAATACACAGTACAGGATCCCCACCTGAAACTGGCGAATGCGAAATGCGGAAATGCTGAAATGAGTAGCTGACGGAGGCTCGACTCTCCTCAAGCTACAAAATATATTGAGCGAAATATTCTAAGTACTGGCTCAGAATAAAACTCAAATCTTATTATCTTATATATCTAGGTTCGCTCATTCTGCTTTAAAAAAAATCATTTTAGGGATTTACGAGCTGATTTTTGAAAATATTATTGACTTTGAGGCATTCTAGAATTCTCTGAAATTTTTCTAAGTCTGGAACTAAAATCTGACTTAATCTAATCTGACTGAAATCTAACTGTATCTAGATCTTAAATCTATCTAGAATCTCAACTATATCTGAAATCTTAATCTGACTGGATCTGAAATTTATCTCGAACCGTCCGGACTGACTGGACCGATTCGACTAAATTGGACCGACAGCTCACTCGGAGCCGGTCGGTCATTCGCTTGACTATGTGCAGCTCGGTTATTTATATTCGGATCCGAAAAAAAAATACCCAGTTACCGGATCCGGATAAAACTAGGGTTTTGATTCTCGAAAATCCTAACTCATTTAAGGCCGATATTTAATATATATTTTCTATGTGATTTAAAAATCAATTTATAATTCACAATTGCAGCTAAAGTATTAACCAGACTATTTTTCTATATTTCTCGAATTAACGGCTAAAGTCCCGATTTTTAAATCTAAGTCAACCGGCATCTAAAATTCACGAAATTCGCAACATAGCATCCTCAATACATGTTCGGTCCATGGTCAACATCTCAAGTCCAAAGTCAACTCCTAGACTAGTCAACTCAAGATCGCTACGACCGGTCAACACATTTGACCGGCTCGTTCGCCTATCAAACGAAGTCCAAAAATTCTCAAATTCGCACCTAAGCCTCAAATCAACGCAACGAATTTAATGGTTTTTATTTCGACATTTTATCAAATTTATTTAAAAAGTCCGAAATAGTCGCTTCAAGCCCGAAAATCCCAACTTATTCAAATCGCACTCAAATCACCAATTTATCATTTTTATAATTATTCGATAATCATATCTAAGCCATTGGAATCGAGTTTTAGCCGATATACCTTCAATCGGTTCGGATCGGATGAACCGAAAGTAGATCGGGCTGTAATAATATTTTATTATTGTGGACCATATAGTTAATTGAACTTAATTGAATTAATAGTCAAACTTAATTAAAGTGAATATGTATTTAATAGATTATTAATGTTCTAATATTAAAGAGTCCAATTTGTGATGTTTGACTTGGACAATAAGTTAAATTAGAACATGGGGAATGTTAGTAGGATTAGGATTGTAAGTCTTTTCCTCTCATATATACTACATGCCCCTCTCTCCCATCTCATACGCAAATATAGTTCTCAACATCAAGGGCTTTATGAAAAGACGAGAGACGCGGGAGAGAGAAACAATTCATAGGCATAGGCGAATCCATAATTGGAGATTATGAGAAAGATATCCATGAGATTACGAGGAAGAGATCGCAAATCAACATCATAGATCAAGAAAACAGGGAAGGACTATAAGCTGGATTCTTGTAAGTTCTATGTGCAATTTAATTAATGCAAAGATCCATATTCTATGAACTGATAGAATTACATGCTTAGGGTGTATTCAATTCCGCCTGATAGTTATAAGTATGCCCATTAAATTTCTTACATGTGGTATCAGAGCATGTGTTTGTGCATGATTATTTTGCCGCTTAAAGTTTGTGGTCTTATTGTCGCACATTAATTGAAACTGTTATGATGAAAGTTAGAAGAAATTCGTGCGTGCCTGAAACTGTTATAATGGAACTGTTGTAATTGAAATTCATTCCCGTGCCTGTTAGAGAATTATTGGCGCATATATATGTGTGATCTTCATATGTTGGGAATTATTTGTCAGGCATGAATCATGGATTGTTTTGTTGAAAATTGTTTAAATTATTTAATGAATGTGGCCTGCAATTGGATTATTCATTGGATTCTTGGATTTTAATTGATGTGTTGGACTCTTGTCCATTTATTATTCCTAGAACAAGTTATTTGAATAATTGTTGATTGTTTACATAAAAGATGTAACTTGAATTGTATTCCATGATTAGTTAGAGTACTTACAGTAATCATCAAATGGAATTGACACAAGTTAATGGTGATATAGTGAGGATACATGACTTGTGCTGACTGATTGTGCAAACTTGTTTCTCGACTGATAATTTCGGTTCCAGGCTGTTAGTTCTATATTATTTGTTTTAATATGAACTATGTTACAGTTGATCAACGTTGATTCGATATTAATTATAGTTTTTATAATCTCATAAAATATATTTTAAATAAAACTTATTTTCTAATTATATTATCTATGTAAAGAAACTAGTTAGTCACCAAAGTGCCTAGTTTAATTTATGGAATAGATAATTAAATTAGATGAAATATCCTTAAAATAAAATATTATCTAATTAAATTATCTATGTAAGAAACTAGTTAGTCACCAAAGTGGCCTAGTTTAATTTATGGAATAG